CTGGCCACAACGTTCGGCCACGTAGGCGCTTCCAAGAGGCAGGGAGCGGCGGTGATTTGCCGCAGGCGTCTTCGATCGAACACACTTGCAAAGTTCGGCGTGCCAGGCGGCGGCGGCGGCGGCGGCGGCGGCGGCGGCGGCGGAGGAGGAGGAGGAGGAGGAGGAGGAGGAGGAGGAGGAGGAGGAGGAGGAGGAGGAGGAGAGGGAGAAGGAGGATGAGAAGGAGGAGGAGTAGGAGGAGGAGGAGGAGGAGGAGGAGAAGGAGGAGGAGGAGGAAGAGGAGGAGGAGGAGGAGGAGGAGGAGGAGGGAGGAGGGAGGAGGGAGGAGGCGGCGAATCCTTCCACGACGCGAGGGTCCTGGGAGGCCTCCCAACTGGGCTCCGAGCAGATGGGGTCAGAGGCTCGCGCCGCACCGGCGAAGCATCGACGATGCATCGGTGACGTCGGCGGTGCATCGGCGACGCCGGCATCGAGAAACTGAGACTCCGCATCGATCCGCGTCGCCGATGCATCGGCGATGCGGCGAGACCCTCCGACTTGGGGGCGGCTGGGGGTTCCGAACTGACTGGGGCCCCAGAAAATCGGGCACGAAGGGCGGATGAGGCCAAATCCGTTTTGAGCAGGGACTGACCGCCCTGGCATTCCAATATGCCTACCACGGAATGATTTTAGAACCAAAAAAACGAATAAAAAAAGCTGTGTTCTTAGAACACAACCCCGACGTGTCAAAACAAGACAGTCTCAGCCAGATAAGTTCAAATAACATTTCGAGCAGAACATTCTTTGGCGGGCATATGGGCAAGCCAAGAAGCTTCGCCAATGCTCGAAGATGAGGCCAAGTCCGTTCAAAATCGGTCGCCGGACCCCCACCTGGGTCCATCTGGTGCAAGCTGTTTCGCCTCGCATCCGCTTCTGACAGTTCCAACGGGCCCAGCCCCCTGGAACAAAACATGCCCCAAACCTTCTGGAGCCCAGCATGTTCCTCCGTCTTTCTCCTCCAAAGTTCATCCTCTCTCCTCCTCCTCCTTCTCCTCCTCCTCCTCCTCCTCCTTATCCTCCTCCTCCTCCTCCTCCTCCTCCTCCTCCTCCTTATCCTCCTCCTCCTCCTCCTCCTCTTCCTCCTCCTCCTCCTCTTCCTCCGCCTCCTCCTCCTCCTAAGTTCCTCATCCCTCTTCCTCCTCCAAAGTTCCTGCTCCCTACTCCTTCTCCTCCTCCTTCTCCTCCTTTTCCTCCTCCTTCTCCTGAGTTTTCCCCTCCCTCCTCATGCTCCTCCTCCCTCTCTCTTACCCAGCGTTCTGCATGCTGGAACCAGAGCTGGGCCGCCCAAGGACCCTCGGTCGACTCAGAGCACCGACCCCACGTGCTCGGACACCATTCGGGAGGCCTAGACACCCCCTCTCTCGCTGTGAGGAAAAAAGGGGGTGGAGGAGGAGGAGGAGGAGGAGGAGGAGAGGGAGAAGGAGGATGGAGGACGAGGAGGAGGATGACGAGGAGGAGGAGGAGGAGGAGGAGGAGGAGGAGGAGGAGAAGGAGGAGGAGGAGGGAGGAGGGAGGAGGGAGGGAGAGGGGGCGGGAGGAGGGAGAAGGGAGGAGGAGGGGGGAGGGAGGGAGGAGGAGGAGGAGGAAGGAGGAGGAGGAGGGAGGAGGAGGAGGAGGAGGAGGAGGAGGAGAGGAGGAGGAGGAGGAGGAGGAGGAGGAGGAGGAGGAGCAGGAGAGGAGGAGGAGGAGGAGGAGGACGACGAGGAGAAGGAGGAGGAGGGAGGAGGAGGAGGAGGGAGGAGGAGGAGGAGGAGGAGGGGAGGAGGAGGGAGGGAGGGAGGGAGGGAGGGAGGGAGGAGGAGGAGGAGGACGATGTGGAGGAGAAGGAGGAGGAGGACGACGAGGAGAAGGAGGAGGAGAAGGAGGGATGGATGGATGGATGGATGGATGGATGGAGGGAGGGAGGGAGGGAGGAAGGAGGAGGAGGAAGAGAAGGAGGCGGATGAGGATAAGATAAGACAAGCGCAGAGAGGCGGTCCAGGCTTCAGCCAACACATTGGGTTCTAGGGGGTGGCGCTTAAGGTCTTTGTCATCACGTACCCATAAGCCAATCCCGCTACGATCAGGACTCCGAATCAGGCACGAGATTGTCACGAAACCTCTCCTGTGAACTCCCCACTGGAGCTCGCTCGAGAATCCAACTCCTTCAGACGAAGTCGTTCGTGGAGGGCAGCCATCCGAACTTCGAAAGAATAACTTGCATCGGGATTCGACCTCACTAAAACGCTGGTGGTGGCGGATGAGGGAGAGGAGGAGGATGCACCAGATACGGAGGGCGCGGGTCGACGCCCCCGCGCCCGCGGCGGTAGCCGCCCACGGGCCACCGCAAGGGTCCTGAGCCTCCAGCGGTTTGATCAGGACCCCTGACCACGGGGGGCTTGTCTCCACCTGAGAAGCCAGGCCCCCCGACCACGAAATCGACAGCCAACGCGTCGCCGACCTCGTAGCCCTCGGCCAACACGCCTTCGGGCTCCACGAACACGAGCAGCTACCCCGACCTGGACCGTTTGGCCAGCATCTCCTCCAGGTGGCCGACCATGGGCCTCAACTGGTCCACGCCGAACGTCGGGACCTGCTCGGTGGGCTCACGTCATGAGGCTGGCGGCGTGCGTGCGGAGCTGTACGATCTTGGAGAGCTCGCCGCCCTTCGCATGATCCTTGCCAGCGCCGCCCATGCCTTTGCTATTGTCCTTGCCCTTGCCCTGGCCCGCGTCGTCCACTCGTCGGACCCCATCGGCTCGGCGACGACGATGGCCCCCGCACCCACCGCCGCCGCTGCCACTCCACCACCTGGGAGCTCCACCTCCACGACGTCCTGCAACTCGTTCTGCGTGTCCACCTCCATCCGACCACCGCGGCCGCGCGGGCGACGGCGCCGAACTGGCGCCACGGGGAGACCCACGTCGTCCGCGGCAGGGGGGGCAGGCTGCCCGACGAGCTCGGCGACCGCCGTACAGATGAGCCCCTCCGCCGCGCGCAGGAGGCTTGCCGAGCCACGACACCCTCCTGCGGCGGCCGAGCCCGCAGCCGCGTGGACCGCCATCAGCTTATCATGCGAGGCAAATAGTGGCGCCGCAGCATCAGGACGGCGCGGCGGCGGGACCTGCGGCGCGACGAGCTTGAGCCAAGACGTCTCCCTTGAGCCAGAACGACGAGGAGAAAGGAGATAGGAGAGAGAAGGAAAGAGGAGGAGGCGGAGGAGAAGGAGGAGGAGGAGCAGGAGGAGGAGCAGAAGGAGGAGGAGGAGGATAAAGAGTAGGAGGAGGAGGAGGAGGAGGAGGAGGGGGAGGAGGAGGGGCAGGAGAAGGAGGAGGAGGAGGAGGAGGAGGAGGAGAAGGAAAGCTCATCTGGCCTCTGCTGGGTGGGGGCCCGATCTTGGTCGCGTCGGGGTCTGTCGGTCGATCCCTCGCGCGATCGCCTGCGATCGGGCCGCCCAGAAGGCCGGGCTCACGCGAGCCGCTCGGCGCCCCTTGGGGGCTGAGTCATTTCGTGCCATGGCAGCCTCCACCTCGGAGCCCGACTGGCGGCCGCGCCGATGCATGGCTGCCTGGTGACGGATGAGGTGTGTGCCCTAAGGGACCTTCAGCGGCACCCCACACAATATATCATGCAGTCCAAAGCTAAACACAGGTCAATGAGGAGGCAGCGGCTGGTGGCCTTCAGACATGCCGTCTTCGATTTTCTCACCCCTGCATGGAGCGGCTGGGAACGCTGGACCCCAGACGCCGGATATAGCCATGAAGAAGAATGGGCCGATCTCCATCAAGAAAGACGAGTGAACGCAGAGAGTAGCGGCAGCAGGCACTGGTGCAGCTCAACGGCGAAGCCACCTTGCGAGAAGTGGGAGGCGAAGCAAGAGCCCAACACCGACTGCTACAGTGCTGAGGCCACGACTAAGTCGCCATGCGAGAAGCGGGAGGCGAAGCACGAGGCCAATGCCGTCAGCTGTAGTGCAAAAGGCTACGGCGAAGACACAGTGCGAGAAGCTGGAGGCGAAGCCAAAGCCCGACGACGTCAGCTACAGTACATCGGCCACGGAACAGCCACACTGCGAGATGCGGGAGGCGAAGCAACAGCCCGACACCGACAGCTACAGTGCAGAGGCTTTTGAGATCGACAGGGCTCTCGAGACGACAGGGCGGTATAGGAGAGAAGCCGAATTCCATCCACAATCAGAAGCCCGTGGCGCGTCTTCGAGGAGGACCTCGAGGACGAGATCGAGGACGCCACTGACAGGAAGGAGGAGAACCTGGCAGCCCTGCGAGCGCGCTGGGACACCGTGCAAGTGATGGGAGCGCTCGCGGTGTACGCGCACCTCCTCAAGGACCAGCGCAACACCTACGAGGACACGTCGATCGCCGAGCTTGCCGCCTACGCGAACTTCTTGCACTACGGCATGCAAGGCGGCCGCTCGGAGGTGGCAGCGGCGGCCTGGAGCAGCCTCAACTGCAAAGAAATGGCGGACTGGACCACCGAGGACCCCAGGGCAATGCTCGCCACGGACCCGCGGTGGGCGCCGCTCCTCAAAAGAAGGACGACCCAGAGGGCCTTGGGGAGGCGAAGGAGGAACAGGACGTCGAAGGCGACGACTATGAGGACCAAGACAACGAGGAGGACCCAGAGGACCAGCAGGAGGACCCAGAGGCTTCGGCGAAGAGCCCAGTGTAAAAACTCACCAAGGGCGTCCAGGCAGGGAAGGAATGAGGCGGAGGTGCTGGCCGCCCTGAAGGAGGCAGACGCACGCGGCGAGGAGATCACCCCGCGCCTCTGCAAACTGATCAGCCAGTGGCTGGCGGAGTACAGAACACAATCGGAGAGCAACGAGAAGAGCCAAAGACAGAAGGTCGATAAGGAGAAACATCACCTGAAGGAGGAGCTGACAGACAGCTGCGACCACTTCCCCAAGCCCCTCATCATCACAGAGAAGGAACACTAAACTACGACCTCGACGGCACGACCGACTACCCGCCCGTGAAGAACATGCGGAACCACCTCGGCGCCTACGCTAACGAGGACGGCATGCCCTCGGACCCGTCGCCAAGACGGTGCGCTTCCGCCTTCCGGAGGAGGTGGATGACCTTGGCGACGGCGGCCACCAGCGCATCTGCGGCTCCCAGATCTCCGCGGATGCAGCCGCCCAGCACCCGAAGGACAGCACCGACCACTTCGACGCCCCCCCCCCCCCCCCGCGGGGCGAGTGGGTAGGCCCCAGGGCGCTGCCCACCCCAGCGGGGCGAAGGGTTAGGCCCAAGATCGCGTACGCTGTGCACGGCAACACCTTCGACTGAGCCATCTTCGTCACCACAGCGGGGCGAAGGGGTAGGCCCCAGGGCGCAGCCCACCCCTGCAGGGCGAGGGGATAGGCCCAGTGGTGGTGAGGACGAGTTCAGCGAGTTCGGCAACCACCTGAACGACATCCTCTGAACGGGTGCGCCCTAGATGGCGGTATAGACTCGATGTTGACACGTCAAAATGGAGGAGGAGGAGTAGGAGGAGGAAGAGGAGGCGGAGGCAGGAGGTGGAGGAGGGAGGAGGAAGACGAGGGAGGACAGAAGAAACGGATGAGGAGGAGGAGGAGGGACTCCACGCAGGAGGCCTCTGCAGAGTCCCCCCCCCCCCCGCTGAGCGCGGCCGCGCCTCCCGCGGGCAGCGGCACCCGCGGCGGCGGCGGCGACCGCGGACGCCGCGGCGGCGCGTCGAAGAGCGCGGCCGCGGCCAGCGGCGAGGGCCGCGGGGGCGGCTGCGGCGGCGGCGGCGAGCGCGGCGCCGAGCGCTGCGGGGGCAGGCGGGTCGAGGGGCGGGTCCGTGGCGCGTCCGCCTGCGAGGAGGGGGGAGGGGGGGGTCGTCCTCCTCCTCCTCCTCCTCTCCTCCTCTCCCTCTCTCCTCCTCCTGCTCCTCCTCCTCCTCCTCCTCCTCCTCCTCCTCCTCCTCCTCCTCCTCCTCCTCCTCTCCCTGCTTCGTCTTCTGCTCTTCTTGCTTCTGCACCTCCTCCTCCTCCTCCTCCTCCTGCTCCTTCTGCCCCTCCTCCTCCTCCTCCTCCTGCTGCTTCTGGCCGGACCTCGAGCAGGGGATCTCGGCTGCAGCATGGCGGTGCGGTCGTGGCGCTGCCAGAAAGGGCCCAGCAAAAGAAGGAGTGGCGCCCCCCCTTTTCAAGATCGGATCGCAAACAGACCAGGAACGGCCGGGCTCCTTTCTGGATGCGTTCCTTCGTCGTTGCATTTCGTTTGGCAACCGGCACCTCTCCTCCCAAGGCGCGCCGAAAGGGCTCGCTCTTTTTGTTGATAAAAAACAGACAAACGTAACCGAACTCGAACTGGACCTCAATTTAGCGCGATGGCTGTACACCGAAATGGCTTCCCCGCCAAATCTGGAAAACAGACTTGCAAATCTACAACCCTTCTACTATTCGACGTGCAGATTCGACGACCCAATCAATCTTGAGGTAAATCGATTCTGCAATCGATCTCCTACTCGAATACTCCGCGCATCATGAAAAAATCTTGACGGACACCTTTTCTTAGCTTTCATCCTGCGGGGGTCCTCGCTGCGCCCAAGGCCGTCAATTCACCACTCTGGACGCAGAACCGGCTTCCGTGAAGAGGTCCAGACCTCAATGGGCCAATGTAGTGACAAATCAATGGCGTCGGGGGTCAAGATGGACAGCCTTTTTCGATCGGACGTTTTTGGGCGTTCTCCGCAATTTTCCAACCTCGGGTTGCGTTCCTGCAGCTGCGTCTTGCCGGGGGCGTCCGTGGGCTGTCCGCCTCGTTCCGAACGGCAGGCAAAGACCCGAGTCATGACCCGAAGACGAGGCGACGAGGGGGCGGGCGGTCTTCTTAAGAACGATGACGGGCGGTCAAGCCCGACTTCGGAAACAATGGACAAGCCACATTAAGCCTGGCATTGAACCAAATTCGAACCCCCGGACCACAGGGCCCCCCTGCGGGCTACACCCCCCCGGCTACAGAGGGGGGGTGCCGGCATACACGCCACTGTCCCAAACTACCAGGAACCCCCCACCCCGCCGGACTACCCCACACGACTACGGGACCACCACCCCAGACCACGAGGGCCATCCCACCGCGGACTGCAGGCCCCACCCTCCTGGACTACAGGGGCCCCCCGCCAAGGGGCCATACGAGTTGCGCGCGATGCGCCAGCGCCTCCTCCCTCGGGGCGCGCGGGGGCAGCGGCCGCCTCGCCGAGCGCCAGCGCCCGTGCCTCGGGGCCGAGCTCGGCGGCGC